AGATTCTGCCCTCTGGGATCTCAAACATAGCCATAATATGATATTATAAGGGCTGTAATAATGAGAAGCGACAAGTAGAAAAAAAGGAATAGCTTCCCCCACCCTCAGGGAAATCATAGGCTCTGTTAAAAAGTAGTATCTAAGCGGAATCTTAAAGGATGGCAGGAGTTCATCAGATGGGAAGACAAGGGGTGAACATTCCAGCCATGGGAACAGCATGTTCTGCAAACATGATGTGATTTAGTGTGGCTGGACCTTACAATACATGATGGGGAATAGAAAGAAGGGTAGAGAGTAGAGTGATGAGGAGAGCCCGAGGGGTAGACTGTGGGTAACTATTATACTGAAGGTACCAGAGAATTAACTGATTTTCAGGCAAGAGAGCAGCATTGGACTTTTTCTTTTCTTTCCTTTTTTTCTAAAAGGAAACTCTTAGGCTAGATGGAGGATGAATGGAGCTACAGAAAACCAAGAAGGAGACATCAGAGGAAGTCAGCTGGTTAACTAAATAGGGTCTCACAGAAACTTGAAGTAGAGCACTGAAATTCAGGATCTCATATTTGTCCTTCAAGACCAGAAATCTGATTTTCCCTATACATCTAGCATGAAACAGATACCTGAGGACTGATTCACAACAACTAAATTCATAAGAAAATGTGGTGTAAAGTATAATTCTAATTTACTAACACACATCCATCTATTCATCAAACACGTATAAAGGATCTACTTTGAGCTAAGCATTGTTCTAGGTTCTAGGAACACAGCTGTGATGAACAATTTCCTGCCCTTGCAGAGTTACATTCTAGTGTGGAATATATGTTTTCAGGGACTAAAATTTTGTGTTTGCTGCCCAGAGCATTTCCTTCCAAGTGTGAAAATACCAGGAAATCTAAGTTGGTAATCAAAATATTTTGTGGTGAATGACCAGAAAAAAGAGAAGCAGATGGTTTTAAGGTCCATTTCACTCAGGCCCCATGTAAAGCCTAAGAAAATATCTATGCTCTAGAACAAGTGTACTTGCTACTGACTTGCTTAATAGTTTTCTTCGGATTTATGGTTCCTCTATCCTGTACATTTCTGGGTGAAAAATCATGGCCAAATCCTGGCAGATTCCTCTTTTTCTGGATTCTAGGAAAAACCATTTCAATTCTAACATTCTTTCAGACATATTGTAATACTATTAATTTTAATTATGTTAGCTTCAGTCATTTTTACCATATATGATTAAATAAAGGCTCTAACTTCAACTATATTAATGTAAGAATTATATTAAAATTTTGTATACTACTGGATTTTCATCCATAAATTCAAGAAAAATTTACCAAATATTGAAGTACCTATGATGAACCAGGCACTCTGCTAGGTGCTGGGGATATCAGAGTGAACAAGACAGATTTTGTACCTACCTCCAAGAAATTTATATACATTCTAGTAGTGAAGTAAGATTATGAAATCACAAGTAAAAAACTGACAAATAAATTAAGCAAACTGTGTAAGTGTTATGAAGGAAAGGGGCAACTGGAGACTGCTGCAGTATCCAAGAAAGAGATGATAATCACCTGGACCAGGCTAGCGGCAGTAGAAATAGAAGTGGCTGGATCTGAGATTTATTTTGGACACTGAATCAGTGAGTTGGATGAAGAAAGCGAGGAAAAAGCAACTGAGTTAACTCCCAGGTTTCTGAATAAAACAACTGGGTAGAAAGCAGTGCCTAGCTAATTGAGATGAGGAAGATTTGCAGTGGGAAATACCCAGAGTTCTGTTTTAAACACAGTAACTTTGAGACCTTTGTGAGACAAGCAAATGTAAAGAAAAATGCACTTGAATATGTGAAGCTGCAGCTCAGAGGAGAGGTTTGGGTTGGAAATAATGAATTTGAGAATCGCTGATATAATGATGGTATTTGGAGATAAAATTTTCATTAGACTAGATTCCTACATCTCGGTGACACATTATCTCGTAAGTCATTTCCATACGTGACTAAATAATTAAGAGTTCATTTCTGCTAGTTTAGTTCTCGAAGGATAACTATCCAAGACTTCTTTGAGGAGGGGGTGCTCACTATACTTTGTCTATTTTATCAACCCAAAGATAAATCTCAGAGTTACTAGATGCTTTTCATTAATATCTCAGCAACTTTCTGTTTTACTCATCAAACCTAATTTGTAAAGGCCCCATGTAATGGAAGAAAAGGATTGAATAGATCTGCATTTCTGTGTGGATTATAATTTCTATCTTATGTTTTCTGTAAGTTAATTATCACCTACAAGGATATATGGGCTTGCTTAAGTAAAGAGTACTGGACTAAAAATCATGACATCTGGGCTCTAGTTCAAGTACTGTCACTATTTAATTTTGAAGTAATAGCCTCTATAGGCCTGCTATTTTATGGGTCAAGTGACGTGACTAAAGAATATGTTAAAGCCTATTAAAACGTAAAATTTAGTATACAATGGAAGGATTAACACCATTAGCTTACTGCTGGGAAGCTGGAGATCTGGAGTAATGCTGAGCATTAAGAATGGCCCAGAGTGAAGATTCCAGTAGGCTGTTCTGGATTTCTCACAATTTTTTGTGGACTCCATAATTTGGCTTCTGTATCTATAAAATAGGAAGATAATGATTTTCCTCACCATTATGAGACGAAAATTAATAAATATCTATATGTTTTACAGATTCCTAAATAAAAGAGGTTAGGAAAATACAAACAACTATTTGTGTCGATGTTATTAGCTTAATCTAAGTAGGATCTATCTCTTGGAAAATCTGGAAAAGCTTAGCTACCATTGCTTTGTGACTTTTGCCAGCTCCCCAGAGAATGTTAGCTTTGCCTAGAAAATAAAGTACTACCTTGGGAATAGCCTGAAATCTCTGAAGAAAGTAATTTCTAATACCATGCTGTAAAGGAAAATGAATCTTTTCACAAAAGTGGTCAAGACTGTTTGCCAAGCATCCCAGCATTTCCCAGGAATACAAATGAAGCCTCATTAAGACTTTGTGTCTCTTTGCTGCCATGAACTAACTTTGTTAGTGTGAACTAAGTACCTTAAGGGTGGGTCCCTATGGGCTCCTCTCCACTTCTACAATTTCTCTTCTGCCCTGGTTTTTTCCCACTTGTCTTTGTCTCAATCTTCATTTTCTAGTGGAAAGAACTTTCAAAAACTTAGGCCACATTGTTTCCCTCTCTCCTCAAGGCCTCTCCACTCAAAGTGATTTGGGGACTGTCATGCCCCATTTACCTCTCAGAGACCAGGAGGAGATAAATAGTACACACTACTGGCTTTCAACCAGGGGTGATTTGGTAATGACTAGAGACATTTTTGGTTGTCACAACTAGGGGAAGAGTGCCATTGGCATCTAGTGGATAGAGGCCAGGGATGCTATGGAAGATCCTACAATGCACAGAACAACATAATAACAATAGCAAAGAATTATCTGGTGCAAAATGTCAAAAGTGCTGCTGTTGAGAAACCATGGTATTCACAGATATCAGTCACTTTAGATTACTGAGGAGGCAGTGCAGCCTCCTTAGGGAAATAGATTCTGAGGTGTTAAGGCAGCAGCCACTGGCATCAGATTGCCTGGACTTGGATCATTCTAAATTGTAAGCTCCTTGGAGGAAGGGATCTAATTCTACCTACCACACTTAGATTAGAAACTAGTATCCAATGGGGAGTAGTAAATATTTGTGGACTGTCTCAGAGAGTGGTTATGAGGCTAAAGTAGAGTACATATATTAAGCGACATGAAGGACAGTAAGATGGAGAAAAGCAGCCCCTGAACAGTGGGAGCTAGGATGGCATTATAAACCAGGATATGCTTCCCCATTAAACACACACAATTTCACAGAACACTAACATGAGACAAAACCACTCTGTGACTATGATGGATCAAAACAAAAACAAAACCACTCCACGAACATGCCTGAATACAAACAAAAAAGAACACTGTTCTAACCACACACACACACACACACACACACACACACACACACGACCAAATATCCCCCTATCCTGGCTAACATGAAGTACTGCTGCTTCTCAACCAATCATAGCTTTAATCTCTCTTGGTTCTCGTCCCGTTTTAGACATGAATTATTAAAATACCCCATCCCAGAATTTCCTCCACGCCCTAATGTCATTCAAGCCAGAGACTAGAAGGCCTGCTTCCTTGAACCCTCTCCCAAATTACCTAACACAAGCCCAAATCCTGTAAATTCTTTCCAGTACCCTCTTTCTGAGATGACCCCCTGTTCCTCAAGGTGTGCCTCCCCTCCTTGCAAGGAGACAAGCTTTGTTCAACTATAGGGATGTTCTTGATGGCCTTTGGCTGGAAGGCGCTGACAACAGTGACAGCCTCCTTAAGAGTAACTATTACTATGCCTCACGGAGAATTGCATAATGTACCTATAGCGTTCAAGGAGACTGCCAGGCTGCGTCCCCTGAAGGGACTGACGTCTTCTCTCCAGACTACAGTGAGCAGGCTTTTGATTTCCGACCTCCCAAGTTGAAATTCAGCCTATTGGGTTAAATTTTTCATGAAATAAAACCGCCTTAGTGAAGTGCGCGTCTCTAGCCCCAACTTCGAGTTCCTCAAACACTAAAATAACCCAAGGGGGCACGGTGGAGGTAGTAGCAGGGAAACTACAGCCCCAGTGGGTTCATATTACTGAGTACCTTACCCACAACCCCAACCTAGGAAAAGCGGCCCGGAATTCACTCCACAAGAATGCAGAACAGCGCGGGTTCTGTATTCAAAAACCTGAGGAGAAAGAAGCCGCCGGCAAGACCGAAACTTTCCCGCCAGCTTCCTCAGACGTCGCGCACGCGCACGGGTTGCTGGGCGACCGCCGCGCAAGCGCCCGCCTCTTCTATACGGACTACGAGTCCCGGCTTGCCTGGCGCCGTGGCATCGTCTGGTAACTCGCGCCAGTCCGCGCGCGCTAAGTCGGCTCCTCCGCGCGCCTGCGCCTTGGCGAGCTCTGCGCAGGCGCACTTCTAACGCTTGGGAGGTGAGGGCGGGGTGTCGTTCCCTTTCGCTGATGCAAGAGTCTAGTGCGGTGGTGGTAGAGGTGTCGGCAGGAGCAACGTTGCAGCCGGGGCCTGGGGCTGACCCGTCCGACTTTCCGTCCGTGCCGAGCCCACTCGAGCCGCAGCCATGTCCGGGGACGAGGTGAGGGCCTGAGGCAGGCGCTAGGGCTAAGGACTGAGGCAGGGAGCCAAACGCACCCCAATGTGGGAGACCGGGCCTGCGGCCTAGTGGCCGGCTGCCGCCATGTGGGACAGCCGGGCCTAGGCGGCCCGGAGCGGTAGAGCTGACGAGGGCTCCGGAGCCGCGAGCTTGGCCTCGCCCGGCTCTCCTCAGGGCCGCGACGCTGAGGCCGGCGTCCTTCCGTGGCCCGCGTTTCCGGAATGGAGAGCACGTTGAGTCGCCCTCCAGGAGAGGGCTTGAATGTCTGGTTAATGGCCCAGCTGACTTGAGTTTGGGCTGGCAACCCTTGCCTTCGTTTCGATTTGACGCTACAGCTCCAGCTGTCCCTCGCTGGGCGCTGGTGGTGCAGAGAAGAGCCTCTTTCGGCTCCTGTTCAGCGCCCTCGTTTAAAACTTTATGGGCTGGCTTACCCTACCCCGTGTCTACCCTTGTTCTCATCTGGGGCATTATTATTATTATTTTTTAAGGCCAGAGGGTGAGGGGAATAGGACGAGAGTATAAGATCCTTCAACCTGAAAAAGTGATTAACCTCGGAAAGTTTTAGAGCGGGAGTCCCTGAACCTTCCTTAGCAAAACTCGCAGCGACGTCAGCGGGAAGTCAGGCTGCGGAGCTGCCAGGATCTTTTTCTACCGTCGTATTTGTACATCAGAAAATTTTCTCAAATCTTTTTTGGCCAGATTCATCCCATTCATTTTAACCAAATGGCTCAAAATGAAATGTGGCTTTAAGCTTTGGCCCCTTGAATTTGTAATTCACTTCTGTAAACATTCAAGTGCTTGGCCTATAAGGCCTTGGAGAGAAAGAGAGGAAGAGGAAATTTTTCCTCTTTTTCGAGTTTTGGCTTTTTGAGGTAGGCCCTGAAAATGCTTTGAATTTCCACAAGTAGTGGGAAGGCCTGGTCCCAGGGCAAGGGAGTGGTTAAAGCAAGTAAGTGTGCTCACAGAAAGCAGAATATTCTCCAGTTTAGTTAGTTAATCCCTTAAAATATAGATAGTGGCTGGTTCATGGAGGAATTTGAAGACCTAATTAAGAAATTTGAATTTTATTCTGGAGGGGATTCCAATCTCGCATTTGATTTTTATGACAACCCTTTAAGATGGGGGGCTTTGTTACGCCCATTTTAGAGATGAGAAAACAGGCTTTTTAGAGAGTTGTATAATGCCCATGATCAAATAGTAAATGGCTGAGCCACTAATAGAATTCCAAGTCTATGTATTATAGCCTCCATTTAGATGACTGGGAGGCTCTTGCTCTCTTAGGAAAGAAGTACATCGTTCTTGGAGGTCATGGAGACATTGCTTTATGGCACTCTATTTCAGAAGTTACGAGTGTCAGTGTCTCATTCTTATTTTGTTTCTACCCATTTTCTAAGATTTTCATAACTTTTAATGAAGTACCTAAATAGAACAAGGTACTGTGGAGTGCTATTCTGTGTGTGTTTTCTATGGTAAAGAGCTCACAAGTGTTCTAAGAGATCTACTAGTTGCTACAGGAGGTAGGAGGTAGAAATAGAGCCATTAACAGCGATTTGGAGGGCTGGAGGATTCAGTTTTAGCAGTGGGATCAAATCTTGGAGGAAATGAAATACTACTGAAGGGTGAAGAGGATTTGTCAGAACCAGCATTCCAACAGAGGACTTTGGAAGTCAATAAAATATTAAGCAGCTTGGCATTTCTCAGGTCTACCAGTCCATTTTATAAACAGGGAATTAGGGCTTCAGTTGCCCAAGATCACACAGTAAGTAAATGGGACTAGAATCCCAGCCTTTGGCTTCCACTTTGGATGTATGTGCAGATTCGGGTTCCTCTAATACTGTTTAATTTTTAAAAATTTTCTTCGGCCAGTCCTTAACTTCTGACAGCTTTACAGACTTGTAAGGATCAAGTGAAAAAATCTGTACATGGAAATGATTTATAAACTACCAGGGACTCCCAAGAGTGGAAGTAGTCCTGCCTGGTGGCCAGGATAGAGAGTTAAAAACCTACTATTAAGACGTAATTTATCTCTTTTTTTCTTCACATTTCCTTCTTTTTTCATTAGTCTTTTAATATATAATTGGCATAAACTGCACACACTTCCTTTTAAACCTGGTGATTAAGCCCAAAATTCAAGAAAACACAATCTCTTTTAAACTAGTGGAAACATGACCTTTAAAAACCAGTATTCTAGAAATATGGGTGCTACCTAGTGAGGAAAAATTCCTTAATCTGGAGGCATTAAAGTGTTGTCAGTAGCTAATATTATTTACTACTAGGCCCCACTCAAAAGTATCAGAACATCAGGTTTTCATACAACATGGTAAAGTGTTATACAAAAGAATCTTTAAACTAAAAAAAAGTTTCTGATTAAAAATGAAATATATGTTATCTGAAGTCTACAAAACACAGAAGAATATGAAGGGAAATAAAAATCTCCCAGAATCCCATCACCCAGAGCAGACACCTTTTGGTCTGCTCACCTTGCTTCTCTGGGTTCTTTTGTAACCCTGCCTTCTGGGGTGGTATGGGCTTTAAGTTACTATATTGGGTAAGGTATGGTCGATGGGAGTAGGCTTCCAATGTGCTGAAGCACTTTGGGTTATTGTCAGGGTAATTTTTGCTGATACCCCTTTTCCTGACCTCCAGCCTAACCTAACGTGGGAAGTTGAAAAGAGAAAACTGTTGTGGACTTGAAAAATAGCTCAGGAAGAGTCTGATTTTCCATAACTGCACTGTGAGCAACTATTTACTTCTTCAGTTCCCAACTAGTCTCAAATAAAACATTTGGAATGTGATAATTTGTTAAGTCAGATATGAAAGTCATAAAAAAACACAATTTTTTCAGTGAAGACTGACGTGGCCCTGTGGTTTGGGAGAGGTCTGCTTTGGGTACTGCTTTGGGATCCTTGGTTTCCATATTTTTAAACTTTACCTTGCCAAGTGGTGTGAATAAAATGAGGAGATGAATATATGTCTAAAATATCCAGACATGGTAATTGAGAGAGGTGTTAATTATTTCAGTGTATAATTCTTGCGTGTTTATAACCCTTTATAAGTTTACAACCAAACTGTTTCCCTGGGGACCTATACAAATGTTTTTCAGGATTAACAGGGCAGTTGTGAGGATGTCCTTTGCTGAGTTCAGGATCCCTCTCATCTTTGGTCTGTCTTGCTAAATAATAGTTAAAAGATGGTTAATATTCTGGAGAACTTGATACTTGAAAAAAATGCAATAAATGAGTTGTAAATCCTGGCAGAAAACCAGATTTATAGTGTGTGGAGTGTTGTCTGTCCTTTAGCCAGATAGCCATATTCAAGAATGAGGATGATTTATAGCTACCTCCCTGAAACAGATTATAACACTGTGTAGGGTGACCCCAAGACCCAGTAGGTCAGCAGTGGGGAACCCCTTCCTCCTGGCTCTTAAATCCTCTTCTCTGAATTTGCCAGATTATGTTCCTCAGACTGATTGCATTTCAGGATTATTCGTTTATATGATTAGATCCTTCTTAAAGTAGGAGAGGCTTGGAAATGAGGCTGTATCAATTTCCAGAATGTTTTGCAGATCCTTCTCTGTTGGGTGATGATGATTCTACCCTACCTAATTACAGACCATAGTTTGGTTTCAGTGTAGCTTGATTTCCTTAATGTACTTGGGATATGAAGAAATTTAAGTTAATTAGAATCAATTTTGGGAGGTTTTTTTTCAGAGTTTCATGGTATGTCTTGGAAATTAAATCACCCTGAGTTGATAAAATTTCAGTAATAGAAATCAAGAGATACCATACTTCATCAACTGTAAAGCATCACATAAATTATAATAATTGCTAACATTTATTGAGTACTTCTGTGCCAGGTGCTTGATATTGATTACTTATTTAATCCTAATAACCTTGTGAGGTAAGAGCCAGAGCCAGGATTTTAATTCAGTCAGTTGGGTTTCAGATTTGTGCTTTTAAACACTTTACTGTGCTGTCACAGCAGATCATTGTGCAAAATGGTAAATTTAAGCATGGTAGAATTTGGACAAAGATTGGTCAGGGACTTAGAGAAAAAGGACCTGGGATTTGAATCCAGTCCTGTTTGACTTAAGATTTCACTCTTTTCACTATCAGCATCTGCCCTATATGTTGTTTAAACTATTACGTTTAAAATAACTATGTATTTTTTTCCAAGTGATTTTTACAAACCATCTGCAACAAGTTACAAATTAGTTTTTCACTTGTTCTCTACTACACATCAGATTAAAATAACCTAAAAAAAATTTTAATGGTCCAGAAACAAAAACCAGAGTAAAAGTTTGCATAGAAATTTCTCTTACTCAGATAGAGATTGCTGTATGAAAGATTTCTAATGGATTTCCTTCCATTGTGTTCCAAATCCAAAGATTTGTCTGAATTTCATGACAAAATGTTTTAGTTTTTTATCAGGTCATGTCTTCTGGTGTAGCAACCGCAGTTTACCAACCTTAAATGAAAGATGTATAACTTGCCTGTGCATTGGTTTTCTCATCCATTAAGCAAGGGATGAAGCATAGGTTATTGCTAAGCTCCCTTCCCTAAAATCTGTGATTGGTTTATAAAGTCTCTAAAGTTGCTCATGAAACTATAAGTGAAGTTGCTGTATCTTGTGATAATTTATAAATTAAAAGACATATACACATGTTTTGGGGGGAACCCTCCAACTTCTAATAGTATAAAAAAGGTTGAGTGGATTTTCTTTCTTTTTTCTTTTTCTTTTTTTTTTTTGCAAAATCTTTTTAGGTACTTTAATGCATCAAATACTTTTTTACATTTAAGGGTATGCCTTTTGAGAATACAGCATATTTGGAATGTGAACATCATTAAAAACAATCACTTTTTCATTATCTTTTAAATAGATGATTTTTGATCCTACTATGAGCAAGAAGAAAAAGAAGAAGAAGAAGCCTTTTATGTTAGATGAGGAAGGGGATGCCCAGACGGAAGAAACCCAGCCCTCAGAAACAAAAGAAGTGGAGCCAGAACCCACTGAGGAGAAAGATGTAGAAGCTGATGAAGAAGATAGTAGGAAAAAAGGTAAGTGGTGGACATGAGTCACTGTTGTCCTGGGAGACCTGGTTCTCTTCCATCAGTGTTTTGGATTTTGTTCACACAGTGACCTCTCAGTCTGATAAGGCTGTTCCAGTGAAGCTGAGGTCATCAGCATTCTGTGTGCATGGGACCTTGCCAGATTTCTGATAGACTTGTTTCAGGGAAATTCCCACCAAATGCACATGGCAGAGATGACAGAACTGTCATTTCAGGGCTGGTTTTCCAGTCTAACCTGTCAGGAGGTTTCTTTTCTAACTTTAATGGTGGTTGTATTTGAGTGTAGGCAAAAAGAAATAGGACCAAGATAGTCAGTTTTGTGTCTTAAGCAATTCTGAAAATATATAGAAGATATTTAAATTACAGCCTAAAATGTTTGGGTTTAGAAACCAGCATTGGTTATTCACTCTTGTTCTAACATAGACACTATTTTGGTATTAGAAATAAATGATTCAGTAAATATATTTATGTCTTTTGAATAGAAGACACTGCTAGGGACAGAGAAAACTGACACTCATTGAGCATCTACCATGTGCTACATGTACAAGCATCTTGTACATACTTAAAACAAATTTGGAAAGTAAATCATTCTTTTAATAGACAAGATGAATTCATAAATAACTTCTTGAAAAACTTTTGTAGCAGAGGGGTTTTAAAATATTCCTAGTGTATAGTAGGGCAGAACAAATGGAAAACTTACTGAACCAAATCCATTATTACTCACTAACGGTGGATAAAATTTCATTTTATTCATATTATAGCCTTATTTTAATGAACGTAATGTACTTTTTAAGGCCCTTTGTTGATTGATTGTTTGATTGATTGAATAACTTACTGAGTTAGGCACTAGGTTTAGGTGAGAAAGCCATAGCCCCTTAGTATCTCATAGGGAGATAGACAAGTAAGCTGGTAAGTACCTCTGTTGGAGTGACAGAAAGTACTATCGAAGCACCTAGGGCATACCTAACCCAATTGGGGGAAGGGGATGTAGACTTAGAGAAGACTTTTAGGTGGGAGTAAATTTTAACCAAGATCCTGTGCGGTGAAGGTAAGAGCTATGTGGGAGGGCCCATAGGAAGGCTTGAAGGTGAGAGATCACACACTGCACTAAGAAGCAGAGGTAATTCAGTTGGGCTGAAACTAAGATTTAAGATACAGGAGATAAGAGGGTAGGCAGAAGTAGAGAGAGAAAGCTGGAGAGCCTTGGAAATTATGTTAGAGCCCTGATTTTGTCGTGGGAACAATGAGGCATGATATGGTCAGATTACTAAATATTCCCAATATGGTCCCCTAACAGTTTTCCAACAAAGCTTTGAGTTGTGTTCTTCAGAACCGTAACCTTTGTGGTTGTGGATGAACTACTGTGCTAATTAATACCAATCTCTCTATTCTGGTGACTTAATTAATAGCTGAAACATTTGTTTAACTCGTAATTTGATGCTTTGCCTTCTGCTATTTATTAATAATTGATAATCTCAATTATCTGTCTTTTTAGATGCTTCTGATGATCTAGATGATTTGAACTTCTTTAATCAGAAGAAAAAGAAGAAAAAAACAAAAAAGATATTTGATATTGATGAAGCTGAAGAAGGTGTAAAGGTAGTATTGCTTTCTTATTGAAGGTAAAATTTGACCACTTGAAGGGTTCTAATGGCTGGTGTTTTTCCCTCTGTCTCATCTCTTACTAGCTTTGCTATTTGTTATTTAATCACCATGTTAAGGTCATTTTCTTGGGATTGTCTGCCTAGGTACCTTAAAGGGATAATGGTTCAAAGGAATGTAAATTTAGATTTTACACGTTGTATTGTGTACCATTAAGATGATTATGAAATGCCTTTTGTCAATCTACTGAGATTGGCTGAGGAGAGATATTTCTGTAAGTGAGAAATCCTGTAGAGCAAATATTCCTGTGGTTTCTTCTGTTAAACTTTTGGTAGCGTGTTAAGGATACACAAAATTATGTGTGTACCTCTGAACAGCAAAGAATGAACCCCAGCCTGTGTTGGTGGCTAGTGATTTTGTGGCCTATAGAAGAACCAGAGCACTCAGGTTGATTTTATGGAGTTCTCTGATCTTGGAGGTACTTGAGGCCCTGTGATTGCCTTATTACTGGATTGATTTCCAATACAAATATCTCAAAATTCTTTTGAATAAGGAGTAGATAGGTGGGTAGATAGGTGAATAGGAGGATGCATGGAGGAAGGAGCTGAAAGTCTGTTCTTCCCTTACTTAGAGCTGCCGTTTTAAAGACCCTGTCCAGGAATCTTGGACAGAGTACAAACTACAAACATCTACTTATAAAACCCAGGATAATAGCAATTTCACGTATACAGAGAGAGAGAAAGAGCGAGAGTAAGAATACACATACACATGCACTAAGTTGTCCCATTTTGTGCCCTCTATCTGAATTTTTCTTTCGTAAATTATTTTCTCAAACTCAGGTAAATAAGATATATCCCACATGTAGCAGTAATTCACTGAGTTTTGGAAACAGTGTCACAGTTTTGATGACTTGGTTAATTCAGCAAATAATGTATTAGTGATGATAGTGAGTCAGGCATTGTGTGCTAATTGTTAGGGTACTGAAATGAATAAGGTATTTTTCCCGTTTTCAAGAAGTTATTTTAGTTCAGGAATAATTTAGAGTTCTTTAGAACAACATGCTTTTCTCCGGATTTATCTTTTTTTCTCCCGTTTGGGAATTCTCTTCCTACTAGGGAAATTGTGAAAGAAATGCTCAGATTATACTGAACAAGGAGGTATAAATATCCTGAGTAACAAGGTGACAAATCAGAGATGTGTCACAGGTGGTCTTGGTTAACAAGGTTTTGTTGGTCACCTTCTCTCATGGCTTTTGTACTGAAGAGTCACTTGTAAGCTCTATTCTTATTTAGTGCTTGGATACTTTTCTCTGCTATTGAAGTCGTAGCATAAGAGGTTGTTACAAGTACCCTTATCAGGCAAGACATGGATATTAACTTGACACTAAAGTGGTTTTTAAGGTCTTGGGTTACTCTCCCCCTGAATTTTCAGACTTTACAGGGCTTTTGAAAATGGAAAACACTTTGTGCTATTCTCTGCCTTTGACTGAGTCTTAGCCTCAGTTTAGAAATAAATCTTACTGGGATAAAATAAGTAATTATATGGGACTGGAAGCTGGCTGGTATGTGCTAATTTATACTTAGCATATGTAAGTTTCTCATTTATTGGCTCTCATCTTAGAGACTAACTTAATATCTGGTTTCTTGTTTGGTATTGTCTAGCTAATACACTGATTGGTCTTTGATGGTCAGATGTGGCACTGAGACTATTCAGCTGGGTTTGGGATCTCAAGACTGAGCTTCATTTGCTCCTGGCTGTTACAGCTTTTCTGCTGATAAGATTTCTAAAATTACTATAGCCATTTACAGAGTAGTTCAGGATGTCGGTACACAAATACAGATATTGATAGGTAATGTTGACACACTTGGGATAGGGAGTTGGATATGCTGGTGAAAGGAAGGCAAGATTAGAAGGCTGGAGACTGAGACTGGCCCTTTTTGCTCTTCTCGGGGTTTTATGACTCATTTCAAGGCTGTGAAATGCCCTGTTTACATCCATGACTATAGCAGCTAATCTTGGAATCAGGCTTTACCTTTTCTTCATTCATTCATCACATGACCCTAATTCTCCATGGGTTCTGTGTTTTCCCTCTTTCATGATACCATCTACTGAAGTGATTCCCAAAGACTTTCACAGTCTGGTGCCAGGCTGGCTGTGATACAATAAAAAATAAATATTTGGGTTTTGTTCCCGGTTCCTGACACACAGCTCCTAAGACCCTTGGATTCTCTGGATATAAGTGTATTTTTAGATGACTGGTGCCTGGAAGGTCCTGGATAGTTTCAGGTTGAGGGCTGGTCATCAAGCCATGATTAGTAGATTGGAACTTTTCTCACACACACACTCTAAAGAGAAAGGGTGCTAGAGATCGAGTTTGGTCCAAAGCTGGTGATTTAATTAATCACAGCCTACATGATGAAGCCTCCATGAAAACCTCTAACATTGAGGTTTGGAGAGCTTCAGGGATGGTGGTCACATTGGAGTGTTGGGAAAGTGTTGCACCTGGAGAGGGCATGGAAGCACTGCACCTGCCTGCCCCCCCCCACCTCCCTTTCCTTGCTCTATGCATGTCTTCCGTTTGGCTGTTTCTGAGTGTATCCTTTATAATATAATAAAGTAATAGTTAAGTAAAGTGTTTTCCTGAGTTCTGTGAGTCGTAGCAAATTACTGAACTAGTGGTGGGAGGACAGGTGTAAGTGGGAAAATATGAATTTGAATCCAAGTAGGACATATGTGTGGGAAACCTGGGGACCCTATACTTGCCCTTGCCTCAGTGAAGAAAGTCCTGTGGGTCTGAGCCCTTAAACCCAAGGAGTCTCACTAACTCTGGATCGTGTCAGAATTGAATTGAATTGAATTGTAGGTCACCTAGTTAGTGTCAGAGAGTTGGAGAATTAGTGTGGAAAAACACCACGTGTTTAATGTCAGGAGGAAAAAGAACCCTCCCACTAACTGCATCAGAATACTTAGAAACTTACGTAAAATATTCCCTGAACCCTGTTCCTGCTGAAGATTGTCACGGAGAAGATTTAAGAATCTTTGTTTCTCAGGTAATTCTGACAGTGGTCTGGTTTAAAACATGGACAATAATTATAATAACATCCCAAGGCTGATGGATTGAAAAAAAGGAAACAATCCCACAAAAGTGTCTTGAAATTTTTCCAGTTTAAATGACAGAAGCTTTGAACCAGTTTGGTTCACCTGTGAGAGACATTCCTGATCTGTAATTTCAGTTTTGAATATTTGATTTTTTTCCCTCTAAAACGACGTCTGGCCATGTCATTAGAAACGTATATATATATGTATCATAATAATCCTAGTAGCAAAATGTTGAGAGTCTTATCTCACTTTCTTAGGATCTTAAGATTGATAGTGATGTTCAAGAACCAGCTGAACCAGAGGATGACCTTGACATTATGCTTGGCAATAAAAAGAAGAAAAAGAAGAACGTCAAGTTCCCAGATGAGGATGAAATACTAGAGAAAGATGAAGGTAATATTGGGGGCTAAGCAGCTCATTTCTAGGCTACATAAGCCTTTGGCCTAGTCTCTTTCATGGGCAGGCTTCTTTTTTATTTTTTCTTGCCCCTTATTTCCACTGCCTAATAATGGAAGCTAAAAGGAAATAGAATCTAACTTGATAATGAAAATTAAAGATTTCATCGGGGGAGAACTGGCACTTGTGATTACATTAAAACATACTGATTCAGACTATTGGGAAAACTACTGTAACTGAATTTTACATAATGTTAAAAATTTTTTGTTTTGCCCAAAGTGCTGTTTCATTAGTTTCTAAGTGCTATAGGGTCTTTAGAGAACTTTAGTATAGTCAGCAGGTGGGTTTTTATGGATGTGTGTGTTTCTTAAGTGCTACAAAACAGTTGGACATTTTTTTCCTCTAATTATCCGAGCACATTATTTTATCTTATGTTTGTTAAATCAAGAAACAATTCAGTGTGTCTGTATTACCAAAAATTCCTAATTAGAGAGGTCTCTATTAAGGGTGGTTTATGAAAGTCATAACATCCATGTCTTCAGTGAATAAGGGGTTATTTGTGAGCCTGGATGCCTTTATGTTTGAGTCTGTTGTGAATGCATTGTGGGATGGAAGACAAATGCCTTTGAAGCTTTCATTTCTCTAGATCTGCTTCTCCCTTCTCCCCCTTTTTGTTACTGTATCAGGCCCTCCCCCTCATTCTTACAGTCTTTGTTATCTGTAGCTTTAGAAGATGAAGACAGCAAAAAAGATGATGGTATTTCATTCAGTAACCAGACAGGCCCTGCTTGGGCAGGCTCAGAAAGAGACTACACATATGAGGAGGTAAGACAAATTCTGTAATGAAAAGCGGCTAAACTGTTCACCAGACCTCAAAGAAAAGCAGGATAAATACTCCTTGAATTGGAACCGCCAGTGAAGTACAATTCAGTAGTGAAACAGACCCAGAGAGGTAACACAGCCAATGCACAACACTGCCTGATGTCCATGTGTGGGGCAGGTGGTCCACAGTGTGGCGGTCATAGTACTCACTGTTCCATCTGAATCCATGAACTTTTGAGGTCACTGGAGCCCCACTGGAGGGGACAAATGGGGACAGTAGGGAGAGGGAGTGGCTAATTTGGGGCCAGGGTAGTCTGGAATTTGCTTATTTGGGCTTCCTGAATCTTACTTTTCCATGTAGCATATACTTTCCCACAGAAACAGTAGAATTAGTATGGGTTCCTTGTTTAACTTTGATCAAGGAACTGCTGAGCATCCATAATGGACCAGTTCCTGGTTGAGGATTGAGTCTTGCTTTCAAGAAACTCCCAGAACATGTGTTGTGTGTGTACATTTAGTAAAAAGTAAACTTCGCTCTGCTTAAAAGAAAAGCACAGTGACTTGGGTGGGAACTCTATACTCCTGCTATTAATGAGAATGTACATGAATACCACTTTATCTCTATAGCTACTGAATCGAGTGTTCAACATCATGAGGGAAAAGAATCCAGATATGGTTGCTGGAGAGAAAAGGAAATTTGTCATGAAACCACCACAGGTCGTCCGAGTAGGAACCAAGAAAACTTCTTTTGTCAACTTTACAGATATCTGTAAACTGTAAGTTGATTAATGCGAAGTCTGTATCCCAAATACCAGATTCTCAGTGGAGTATGTGTTAAATATCCTCATTGAGGACTTTACTGCAGGTAGAAAGAGAATGCACAGATGCCAGGGTTGGGTTAAGGGAGGTCACGGTTCACGTCTGAGTTCTTTGGATTCATAGTTCTTAGGCTTATTATCCAGAGATGAGAGAAGCCACCTCATGCTGAGCCATGAGAGGATCCTAACCATAGGAGTGAAGAGTGAGGAGGCTGAATGTAGTCCCCTGACAGGGGCTGGGGAGCCCTGGGTGGTAGAAAAGCTCATCGGGCTGGAATGGGCCTGACAAGCAAGTACAAGCAAGTATAAGCAGTGAGCTTCAGGAAAGCAGCTAAATTTAGTGTGCTTCTTTCTTGGATACTTGTTGTCAAGACACAGTTGATGAGATTTCAACTTTTTTTTAATTATCATTGCACTCTATGCCTGTCTCACGCCTAGGTCACTGTCCTGGCTCTTCTCAGAGCTCCTCAGCTACATTTTCTGTCAGGTTTATTAAGGCATCTGACCTTATCTCCTGTTTGTTCTTCAGTTTCATAAGTGATACATGCTTAAACAAACAAAAAGTCAGTAAAAATTCCCCGCTGAGAAATAATCACTTGTTTTCATTGCTTATAGGCATAACTTAAAAGGTTTTAGATTTTTTTTGCTGATGACAGTAGTATATGCTTATTACAGAAGAATTTAAAAATAATATAGACCTACTTAAAAAATGAGAAATTGTGAGTCCATTAAGAGATAGGGAATCATAGGTTAATATTTTTATGTTTAGTTAGCTTTATGCATATAAATATGTTAAAATAAATTGGTATCATATTGGTTTTTAACATTTTTTATCTTAATATATTATGAAATTTTTACTCATACATTAAATAACCTTTATAAATGTTTTTAGGCTTTATACAACATGTTCTAACAGTTCTTTAGTTGGACATGGTTGCTCCCAAGTTTTCGTTATCAGAGGCAAAGCTTTAGGAAACATCCTTATACATGTATCTGGGCAGTAACTCAGAATAGAGCCTTAGGGCAAAAATTCCCAAAATGGAATTGTCAGGTCAAAAAGAATGAACATTTTTATAGCAAATATTGGCAAGTTATTTTCCAACAAGCTTATACCAGTTTATACTCACACTGGTAATGTAAGTGCCAACCTGTTTTATTATATTTCCACCAACCCTTACTCATTACATTTTTCAGGAAAAATAACTTTTAAAAATTGTAATAGTAGTACCTACTTATTGGAATAAGCTCAAATAGTGCCAAGTGTCCGTTTATAGACATTTACTCATAGGTATATATTTGTAAATGTAATATTTTATGGGCTTTAAAATGTAAAGAAATAGTGTCATATTTATCTTCATGTCAGAGTTTGATGAACTGTACTGAAATTCACCTAATAGCTGAGTAATCACAGATTAAAGCAGTGAACAGGGTGGTGTTTTTAGAAGTTTGGTTAGATTTCTATGAAAGATAAGGTTTATATTATTCACTGTCTTTTTAGATTACATCGTCAACCCAAACATCTCCTTGCATTTTTATTGGCTGAGTTGGGTACAAGGTAAGACTTTATTTATATTTATATATAGTTTTTATATATAGTTATTGGATGTTTCATAAAAACTTATCTTGAAAAGAATATGTAACATGCTTAGGAAAAACATGCATCTGATTGTCAGAGGAACTTTTAGACTAATGAAGGAAGAAAGTCAGTTCATCTCTATGGGAGAGCTTAGCTTGGCTGCTTGGGAATAGGAAATAAGGGTCATGGTGGCTCATGTGAACAGGCCTTTTGGTGTACCAGAATGAATACCATGGCTCTGCCATGTTTAGAGTTTCTTGTCATTAATTGGAATTCTTGGGTCTTTTTATGGAGCAAAGATCAGATTTCAGAGGAAGCCACTATTTTCTAAATTATATATAGGCTATTGATGAAATATAACTTAGATTGATGAGTGGTAGGGGAGAAACAATGAAATAGGGATTCATAATTAAATAGCTACTCCCCTGTATTTAGGGCTCACTTGTTGAAGACACCAAGCCTGTCCATCCCCACTTGGGAAGGTGGTGGGGAGAGGCAGGATCCCATGGATCCCATCCCAATGAGTTTGGCCTTAAGTTGCTAGGAAGCCAAATGTCCCTTTAAAATTAAGTATTGTAGAATTAGAGCATAATAAATATTACTAATACCTACTGAGTACCCATTGTGTGCCAAACACTTTTTTGGGTACTATCTCAAATCTTGTACAACAGCTCTATGAACTGTTAGTAGAAACTAACACTACCCCTGTCTTACAGATGTGGAAACAGGTTCAGTGAAGTGAAATTGTAGCTGGTCACACAGCTAGTTAATTGCACAATCAAGATACAAACTCAGGTCTGCCTTTCTCAGGAGCTTGGGCTTAAAGTCTTAATCCTTTTCCTTGCTGGCAGTACAGAGATAGCTAAGGTGTTCCGTTCTCTTCCTACTCTTGAAACTCAGTTTGGGATTGGCTATACTTGCTGTGGGGCTAAGGAGTAATTTATTTGACCAGTGGTAAATATGTAGGCTTTGTTGTAGAATTGTTGTAAATGTAAATTTTTTTAAACATTTTTTTATTGAGTTAGTCATTTTACAATGTTGTGTCAAATTCCAGTGTAGAGCACAATTTTTCAGTTATACATGAACATACATATATTCATTGTCACTTTTTTTTTTTGCTGTGAGCTACCACAAGATCTTGTATATATTTCCCTGTGCTATACAGTATAATCTTGTTTATCTGTTCTACATTTTGAATGTATTACAGTCATTGTTTATTTTTTAATTTGCATAAACTGATGAAAGAATGAAAGCTAGCAGTGTGTTTCCTACTTCTCAGAAAAATAATTTACAGTTTTTAGAGGTCACAAGTTGTGACCAGTGAACTTATGGCCAGTGGGCTAAAATATTACAGGGTTGTTAAGAAAACTAAATTTCTTTTGATAATGAATGAAAAATTTTCCTACATCAAGCAATGGAATCACCATAGCCTGCAGATTAAGGGTTTGGGTCCATGGAGGATGATAATAAACCCTTACAGGAAAATATTAAAGGAGAATTATAGGAGAGATTCTTGCGAAAGTCAGTTTTATAATGAGATACAGAACAAGTATAAATTTAATGCTGCCTGGGTGAATTTTGTTGTTTCACTTTGTGATTTGCAATTTTTAACAAGTGATGTCTAGCCTAGAGCTTTGCTTTTTTAAAAGTACTTGTCAGCAACTTCTTTCAAAAAGTTTCTCTTTAAGCACCATTGACAATATGAGGCCTGTGATTTCAGCTGTGCTTTTGGGAGAGAGGTTGTAATAATTTTATAGATACAGTTCACACATTTAAATGTACAATGCAATGATTTGTTTTTTATTGAAGTATAGTTGATTTACAATGTTGTGTTAGTTTCTGGTGTATAGTATAGTGATTCAGTTTTTTTCTATATATATATTTTCTTTTTCAGTATAGGTTATTATAAGCTATTGAATATAGATCCCTGTGCCAGTGGTTTTTAACATGCTTACATAGTTAAATACAATCAATTTTAGAACATATTCATCAACTGTATATGACTGAATCAAAAGGTTAGGTCTTAGTTTTTTTTAAGATATTCTTAGCTCCTTTTATATATTAATAGTATACATTCAGTACACGTGTGATTTTCCTTTGGATGAATGGGTCATCACACAGACAGTTAAGGAATTAATTTGTTTTAGACTTGAAATCATTTATAAATCGAATTTGTTGCTGGTGACTTTATTAATTGAAATTGAATTTAATGTTAGGAAGTAAGGATATGCCATCAGGCACCAACTACTAATTAAAAATAAATTTTGGGAAGTCGGTACTTTTCCTACAACTTACCCCATACCATTGAATATATTTTAAATTTATCAAATGTAAAGGTCCTGGAATTTGATTCCTTACAGGAAAAAACAATAATAATGGAGATGTTTTTGTTTTCTTTCCTAGTGGTTCTATAGATGGTAATAACCAACTTGTAATTAAGGGAAGATTCCAACAGAAACAGATAGAAAATGTTTTGAGAAGATATATCAGTAAGTTTATAATTTAATTTCAACACATCACTCTGAGATATTCTCATTGGGCTGCAATATTTTGGGGAGAGCTGTTGGTTTGTAATGAAGCTAGAAAGGGTGGCCTTAAAAGATGAAGGGAAGTGACTGGTATGGTGAGGGGTTGGGGTTTCCTCAGAAGACCTAGTTGATCAAGGCTGCTGGTTGGTTCCAGGCTCAAGGCCAAGTCAGAGAAATCTGTCTGCACTCAGGCCTGACCCAGCCCAGCTTTGTTTCCTTCCTAATCACTTAAAATTGGCAGATCTGTTCCCACCTGTGAAAGCTAGTAAGTCCTCTCTCAGTGGCTCTCCTGCAGACAAAACCAAGAGTAGGTATCTGGCAAGCATTGCTGCTGCTTTGGACATTCTTTTTTTCAACCCATGGTTCAGTATCTGAAGCATCACATGGAGATAACTTGTGTCTTCTTGTCCCCTGGAATAGCTAAGTATAGCTAAGCTTCCCTGGTGTGGGTGCCAGTGTGGGCTTGTGGAGTTCAGTGAAGTGTTTTAGAGAGAAGAAATCTCTCGCTCACTGTGGCTACCATCTAAATTCTGTATGTTGCTTTTCCTGCAGAGGAATATGTCACCTGTCACACATGCCGATCACCAGACACAATCCTGCAAAAGGACACCCGACTCTATTTCTTACAGTGTGAAACTTGTCATTCTCGATGCTCTGTTGCCAGCATCAAAACTGGCTTCCAGGCTGTCACGGGCAAAAGAGCACAGCTCCGTGCCAAAGCTAACTAATTTGCTAATCACCACTGATTTTGCGAAGTGTGTTGTGGAGATGTGGCTGGACAGGGTTACCATCAGAGTGGATATACCATTGTATTAAAAACAACATAGAAAAGCTGCCAAGTTCTTTGGTGTTTGGCTGTTGGTCTGAAATCCTTGCAAGATGCCGATGCTCAAGCTGTTGACTTACTCATTGCCTACTTTAACAACTGTCAGAGAAACGTGATGGGGTAAGGCGGTGCTTTTTTAAAATCGTTCATAGACTTCTGTAAAATGCAAGATAAATTAAAGTTATTATAACAGTGATTCTTTCAATTTGGTTTGTCCTTCAGTTTTCTTTTCTATAAAAAAATTATGCTTAATGAATTCAGCAAAACAGTTTGTGCCTGGGCTCTGGCGAGGTCTCTGTATCCTTGTCCTGAGAAGCTTCAGCTAGGTAGCCATTTTCCTTCTCAGCTTCTCGAGAAACATGAAGCAGACACAGCTTCATACGAGAGGGTGGTTGGAGCATGCAATCTGGGAAGACAGCCTATTTTCAGTGTCCAGGGAATGATTATATAAACTTGAATTCTTTTCATTATGTGAGGGTTGTTGCCACTACCTCACTGCCGAGTCTTCTTTACCACGAGGGAATTCAAGGTGCTAAGTACCTTTCTCAGAATTTTCTTCCTTATTGGCCACTAAGAGAAGCTTAGATTTTAAGTGTGTCTTGTAACTGACACACCTAGAAAAACCCTAGTTGGGTATCTGTTGGTGAGGAAGCACTGTGGCATGTGCAGTAGAAAAAACTTTTGGAAGTCCAAACCATGATGCTAGAGGAAGCTTTTCTTGCTTCCCCAGCTTGTGTTCTGGGTTTGAAAAGGGCCCACCACAAATGCTTTTCTATTTTCTGTATTAAAGTAGCTTTTGAATACGATCATGAGAAACCAAGAGGTGACGATTCTTGTGTGGTGCTTCTGGTGCCTCCTTCTGGTTCTGCCTTCTTGAGGGTTTGGCTGAAAAGGTATTTCTTCACCGAGCACTGGGAACATCATCCTACATGTCTGCTGTGATCTGCCTTGCACGCACTTGCCGAGGATAAGGGCATAATTCTGCTCCTTACTTTCTTGTTGCCAGACTATTCCAGGGGCAGTCACTCAGCCCTGAATGTCTTGACGATGTTGTTTTTAATCACTGTGACCCTTAATTTTAAAGTACAGGCCAAGTGTTGTAAAGCATCCTGGCCAAGATGCGGTGGAGTGGGCAGAGCATTCCCTCAACCCAGTGGGTCCTGAGGGGACTACACACTGGCTGAGCTGCCACCACTGCCCAGATGAACTCAACTGCTGTTTATGATTTCATCTTCCTTCTTTTGTATCTACATCCACAAAATTCCCAATGTCAGATGTTTCTGCGTGAATAAAGCAAGGATCAGTACCTCTTGTGTAATTAGCGCTTTTGTGCATATATATGTGTGTTTTGTTCATTTCTTTAGTGGGACCCCCTTAGGGGAAGACATGGGACTTTACAGTTTGGTGACAGGTTGGCACATAGTTTTGTTGGCAATTTAATACCATTTCTTACCTTCACCCAAAACAGAGTCTCTGGACTGATCCTGGCCCTTTAAGATAGTGCAGTTGAACTACTGTCTGGTTAAAACTGGGTTGACTATAGCTAACCCATTCAAAACAATGGGTTGCCCTAGGTCACAGTACCATCTCCTGTCTCTGCTACCTCACACCAACCACAACTCAGCTGGAAGGAATCTTTTATAGTAACAAAGCAAAGGCAGTTGAGTTTCTGATCAAGAGCTGTGTTCTGGTTACAAGGAGGGAACCAGACTACCATTTCCAAAGCATCTTAGAAAAGAATGTTGAAGAGTGTTCCTGATTATGCAAGGGATGGGGATGGGAGGGGAGGTCCCATGGTAAATAAGAGTTTGAGACTAGATAAACATGTTCCATGACTGCCTAAGGAACAGTGTTTTGTGTGCTGATGTGCATTTTCTTTAGCATATAACATGCAGTTCTACCTTTAGTCTTTAGAAAACCCTATACCTGTCCCCAACCCCACTTCAGAAAATCTTAAGCTTTTCCTAGGTATCCTAGCTCATCCCACACTTGAGGTCCCTCTCCATGCATGTAAAATGCCATTTCCCCTCAGGCCACCATAAGTGCTAACAGTTTGCTTGTTCACTGATGTATCCCCATGCCTAGAGCAAGCAGTGCCTAGCTTGTAGGTTAAGTTGTAGGTAGTTTTCCAATATTTGAATTTCTTTTAGAGGAACATAGAATATGCAGACTTGTAGTCCCTTCTCCCTCCAAAACACTTTGCAGGGTAAGTGTTTAGAAAAAATGCTAGGCTGGACAGCCTGGAAGAAGTACTGCTGTGGTGTATGAGGCCCCAGATATGGCCTCCCGCTCCTTCGGCAATGCTAAGGCTTCCCATGTGAACAGGACATTATTTTTTACAATGCATTTTTAGAAGTTGGGCTTTATAGCATGTGGTAGTCTTTTTTTTAATTGAGAAGATGAATTTATAATTAAAAACTAATTCCCATAATCCTATCACCATAGAGCCTTTTAGTACCTACCAAGAACATTTTTCCAAGCTAGTACAGTCTTCTTAAGTTTTTAAAACTGCCTGAGTCTATTTGTTGTTATGCCATGGTTTATTAAGTTAGTACCCTAATGGTGGGTTTTGCTAATTCTTGATAATGCTATGAGTATAGGCTTTGAACAGTCTGGAGCGGTAGTCCTCTACCATTGATTATATCCCACACTCTCATCTATAAAATGAGAAAATGCCTATCTCAAAAAAGTGTGCTTAACCCAGGTCTGCCTTATTCCCTTAGGCTGAATTTCCCTGGTCCGAGGGGAGGAGACTTAATGGCTGATAGTATTTCTAAGCCTATATCTCTTTTCCCAAAGGGTGGCCCTGCCAAGTGTACAAATCCTGAGGACGGTAGGTATTCCTCCTATTTTTATGGTAATAGTGGGTTTACTGACCTTGTTAAAGAAAGACTGACCTGCTTCAAGACAGGATGATTGCCTCAGTGATCCTGATAAACCCTGCCACCATTGGCCATAGAAGCACCAGACTCTCCCAAGGATTTGCAAGAGGCCTAGTCCCTGGAGCTTTGTCACATTAATGGTGGTGAGGACTAAACACCTGCTGAGTGCCTGCCATTACTCTTGTCCTTTCAAACCTTCCCTGGTAACAAACCTTTCTAATCACTGCCCTTTGATTTAAGCTTGGCTTCTGTTTTAACACAGCTAGTCTTCATACTGGACACCACCATTTTAAGGAGCATCTCTATAAAGTTTTATTCATCAGCTGCAGATTTTCATGAGCTTTTAAATGAGCCAGGAACCAAATTAAAGCCAAAATATTACATGGGAAGTTGGCCAAACCTAATCATATCACGCTGGGCAACAGCTTCACTATCAAACTATTTTGGCCTCTGAGAATTATGACTGCTGCAGTCACAGATAGACCAGTGCACTGTGACATGCTTCTCATGTGGCCCAGGCTCTGCGCTATTTTTAAGTAATCATTTACATAATAAGCGGCTAGTATTGCCAAAGTCCCTAATTTGTGCCAGGCCCTGTTCTAGATGCCTATATATATTTTTATTCATTTAATCAGCACAGCAACCCTTTAAGGTAGGTATACTATTGCTTCCATTTTACAGATGAAATGAAGACTCAGACCAAGGGGCCACGTAGTTGTTAAATGGGGAGTCAGGATGTGGTCCCAGGCGTTTGGGCTCCAGAGCCTGTCCTCCAGAAGCTTACAGTTTAGTAAAAATGAGAGATAAGTAAAATCAGTTGTAAATATATAATCTGTAAAAACTGTGATAAAAGTAACACACGGGAGTGGCCAGTGCTAACCCAGGCCAGCCAAGTGTCTGGGAAAGTGACTTCTGAGCTGAACTATAAAAGATAAATGAGGGTTAGCTAGTAGAAGGCAAAGAACATTCCTCATGTTATAAAGACAGAAAAACAGTTCTCATCACAGTTACATGTGGCTTGAGAATAGAGGGCAGACTTGGGGAGGGGAGGTGTTAAGCTAGAGAGAAAGGAAGGTGTCAGATCCTCAAGGGCTTATATGCCATGCTAAGGGGTCTGGAATTTACCCACTGGGCAGTGGATAACTGATGGTGGTAAAGAGGAAAGACTGATGGGAAGTAAGTGGCAAGAAGACTAGTTAGACGTTACTGCAAAAATTTAAGTAATCAATAAAAAGGGCTTAACCTACCAAGGCAGTGGGGTGAAAAACAGGTTAGGGCCAAGACATACCTGGGAGAAGTGGAAGATGTTGACCTGAGCAACAGGGTGGACTGTGATGCCATTTTCCAAGATGCAGGATTCATAAGGAAAAAGATCGGGTGGGGTGGGTGGGTGAGGGACAGGGCTCAGCTGAGGCCTTCATGGACATTCAGGTGCAGCTGTTAGATAGCTGTATATCCTCTGGGGAGGACTGAATTAGAGGTGGAGATTATGGAAGTATGAATGTGGAGTCTGAAGCCATGGGTTTGGTCAGGCAGGAAGCTACACAGAAAATTAAAAAGGATAAAAAGGTGCTGGCATAAGAGGAAGAGTCAGCAAAGGAAACTGCAGAGGAGGAGGAGAGCCAGGAGAGACTGTTGTCACAAGAATCGGGAGGAGTATGAGACTCGTTTATGACCCACAAGTAGGGAGCGATTGCCCAGGTTTGCATCCTGCTTCCACCTCTTCCAAGTGACATGATTTTGGGCAATTTATTCAGCCCAGAGACTCAGTTTCCCAATCGGTAACGGGATGAGTATCTCCAACTCCAGGGGACTGATGTGAGGGTTAAAAAAGAAAATGCAATCTGTTAACAGAGCACCCAGGAAATGCCTATATATAGGCATGATGTGAGATAGGTAGGTAGATAGGTAGGTAGATAAATAGATAGGTAGATACATAAATTCTATCCCACTTTCTGTAGTCAAATGCTACAGGGGTAGAGTATATAAGAATACAAAGGTAAATGCTAGGTTGGATTGTTTGCATTTGCACCATAATTATGTAGTTCACCGAGTCACACTTTCCTTTTTTAAAAAATCCCTTATGGGCAAGGATGATACAGTTTCTCACCTTAGGCAGCTCCCTGTGTGGTCAGGGAGCTAGACACTGGGATGTGCAGGGTACAGAGGAGACAATGAAGGTGGGGTTTGAGGAATAAGAGGGGTTATTGTTAGAAGGGACTGGGGGGTGGGGAGATGGGGTCGAGGTCAGAAAGTGGAAATGGGTAAATAACCCTGTTAAGTTTTCTGTTCTGTATACCCAGAAGAGCCAAACCCATGTACTTGTCCAAACAGGACCCGGCTGCTGCACTTTTGTGGAAAGACACCCCTGATCATCTGGGCTCCCACAGGAGATACACTGGGGGTGCATGGAAGGGTATGTGTGTACCAAGAGCCCACTGACTAGTCAGAGGATAGAGGTATCTATTCATTCACACAAGCAGGAGGACCAGCTTGCCTTGCCCCATGGGCCTAGTGACTGGACTGATACTGCTCTTGACTGCAATAAATTCATAGACACTGGAACACTAAAAAAAAAAAAAGCCTCCTTGCTATTACCTTCCTTTGTCTTGCTTTTATAATATTCTTTTGGCTCATTGTAAGCTGCCTGAAATATGCTTCAAACAAGGTGAGTATAAAAATAAGTATTAAAAAAATAGGAAATTATGGCCTGTTATTTTTAAGAGAAAATCACCTGAATCTGAATTAGGCAATAAGCGCTCTCATTTATTTAAGTATTGTCTTAATAAGAATGTGCTCTTTTCTGCTTTTTCAGATGAGGAAGATGAGGCTCAGAGAGGTTAAATGATTTGCCTAAGGTCACACAACAAATAGTCTGGACAGGAACTCAATTCAACACAAAGTTTATACTCCTAACCCAGCCCCAAGGTAGAGCAAGCTACTTAACCCCTCTGAGTCTCAGTCTGTGTTCTGGTTATCAATTGACATACAGCCAATCATTCCAAAACTTAGTGGCTTAAAGCAGCAACAATCATTTGATTATTCTCACTCATGGTGCTGAGCTTTGACTGAGGTCAGCTAGGCAGTTCTTTCTTACTTCTCAGACAGTGGCTGGGCTAGAGTCATCTTGAAGGCTTCCTCACTCATGTCTGATAGTTGATACTGGCTGTCAGCTGGAACATGTACATATGGCCTCTCCGTGTGGCCTGGGCTTCTTCACAGCATGGTGGCTGGGTCCCAGACCAGAAAAAAAAACCCAGTTATAACCAAACCGTTATATAACACATAAGGGTTTTTAAAAAGGAAAGTGTGACTTGGTCACCTAAATAATTGTGGAGCAAATGCAAACAATCCAAACCCAGGACACCTGGCTGAGAATCTTTTGCCTTGCTCTACCTCATGTATTTTTGTGGTCTCATCAGATGGCCCACTGTACAGTAATATATGTTCTTATGGGACAAGATACGTCCTGGCCAGGGTTAGCTAATACCCAACACTCACATACCTGTATTTCAATTCTTTCCCATAAAAAACATTACCAAACTACCATGTTACTATTTCCTCATAGTCTAAAAACTGCTTCTACTAGATGCTTTAAATTGGCAAGGGAAATGAGGCCTGCGATAAAATTAAAAACAAATTATGGCCATAAAGAGCAATCTAGGCTTAGCCATATGACTTCCTTTGGCCAATGGAATCATACAAGCATGACACAAGCGTACACTGTCTTGCCTGCTGGATGCTAGGAATATCTTGGCCCAGTTGCCCCCATTGCCCAACAACTTGATAAGTGGGTGGTTACCTGAAACCAACCAGTTTCCAGCCAATCTGCCAGCTCACTTCAGCCATATGAGAGCCCAGCTGAGATAAAACAGAAGAATCACCCAACTGAGCACGGCCCTAACTGCCAAGCCACAGAACCAGAGGCTAAAAAGTGTTCATTAAAGGCACTAAATTTCAGAGTAGTTTGTTATACCAACAGTTAATAACTGAAATAAGGCCCATTTACTATCCCTGATCCAGGCCAACCTCACACAGATGAGGAAACCGAGACCTGGCAAAGAAACAGAACTGTCAGGGTCATAAACCTTATTGGCAGCAGTACAGCGGGGAAGCCTTAATTAGCTCACAATCCAGGAAACCCCCTGGCTGTCATATTCCTTCAAGATGGCTGCTAGGATCACAATTGATGCTTCCGATCTTGATCGCACCTAGACAATATTAGTCCTTTAGGCAGAATCTGTTATCACATTTCTTCAGGACCTCCTTTTGGTTTTCAGAGGTTGGACAGAAAAATGAAAATTGTTGAGCAGTGGAATGGGAGATGAGAAGTCTTTCCTGGCCCCGGACACAGGGAGGACAGGCATGTGTAATGCAGGGTATTGTGGATGTGAGCCTCCCAAAGCAAGGACCCAAATGTGAGTTTTCTCAGTTCAAGGGCTTTTCTGGGGTGCCAGTATGGGGATCCCATTCTCACTCTGTCCAGGATATGTCCTGGTGCCAAGATGTTTAGGCAGGGCTTGTAGGTAGAGCAGATGCTTCCAACCCTCAAAGAGTCTTCATTGCTCTTCTCATGGCCCTCTATGCCTGGCCTATTAAGGAACCCCATGGCCCCTGCTCTTCTACCTGGCCCCTAACCTCTGAAAAGTGAGTGTCTCAGTCAAGCACAAGGTCTACAAGGTAGACCTTGTAGAGTCTAGAAGTGTTATTACAATACAGTGGGCACATAGCACTAAGCTCTAGGGACAAAGAAACACAGTGCCAGCCCTCAACATGATATTTACCAGACTCCAAAACCCCTTCTTTGGACTTTGCTCAAGTTCCAGTCCAGGACAGCAGTTCCATACCTTGTACAGATGGGAACATGGAGACCTGCCCAGCTTTGCAAGTGGGTTGGCTAGAGCTGGGCTCAACATTCCGGGCAGCAAAGACAGACTGTGGGTTCAGGGACTGTAGGGCTCTTTATGGGCATGAGATACTCCCTGTGGACCTAGCCCCTTCCTCTGGACACCCTCTTCATCTCTCCAGATTGAAGTCTTGACCAGTTCCAAGGGGCTATTTTTCCCTCCAGGTCTGGATCTCTCAGACTGATCCAGAAACCTGAGACATGAGAACTCAATGACCAGGTTTTAAAATAGTAAATTATAAGTCACTTTACCTCATTCTCCCTACTAACACCTAAATCTTTCCCCAGCATCTACTCTAAGAGTTCAGCCAGACACTGAGCAGGATAACAGCTGGTTTACCTGTGATGCTATGGCAACCTCTTACTAGAGTCAGAAGACCCCTCAGCCTCTACCCTCTCTCCCCTTGCTGCCCAAGATCCCCGTGAAAAAACAGTGTCCTAAACTAAGACAGAGAAGGGTTTAGGCAAGTGATGGGTTCTAGAACCATTTTGGAGTTGGGAAAGACCAGACTTAGTGAGAAACTGAGGCCCGGACCTACCACTGCCTGATCAAGTGTATCAAAATCGTTTGGCTCTTCAACCACAAAGGTGCTCTCATAGGCACTGGCACATCTGACCCTCCCCAACAACCCTACTCGCCATTTTTATCCTCATTTTAGCCATGGAAACTAAGGCCCAGATGGATTAGTTTTGGGCATCCCAGACAGTGCTTCCTGACAGGAAGGAGTGGAGGAGGAACAGAAGAGGGTGTAGCAGATCTGTTTTCTGGTTAGGCAGGAGGCTCAGGGTACCTTCGTGAGAAGACACAAACCATCCCATCTCAGAGCAAGTTGGGATCCAATCTCTTTATTGTCAGGGTCCCCTCCCTGTGCCCCCACCCCCCCTCCAAACCTATAGAAAAACCCCAAGGTGGGAGTGTCCTGGGGAAGAGAGGCAGACTGTGGGGAAACTCCGTACTCTGCCCTCTCGCCTGGGCAGTGCCAACAGGGAGGGTGTGTGAGGAGGGGATGCCAATAACTCCACCTGCAGAGAATGTGGCACTGGTTGAGATGTGTCAGGGAGAAGGTGCCTGCTGCCAGCTCTCCTCTGGGACCTGCTGGGGATGGCACCCGGAGGGGGGGTGGTGCCCAGCTTGAGGTCTGGTACAGTGCACACCCTTCTGCCAGTGGCCATTGTTCCTGTCAGGCTGAGAGAGAGAGAGACAAGAGTCTAAGGTTGAGAGGAAAAGCCCCTTGTGCTCTCAATAACAGAGGTTGGGGGGGGGACGGTTCAGTGGTAGAGTGCATGTTTACCACACACAAGATCCCAGGTTCAATCCCCAGCACCTCCAATTACATTAATTAATTAATTAAAACCTAATCCCCTCCAAGGTAAAACTTCGCCTCCCAGGTAAAACTAAACCACAAAGCTCCAAGAAGAAAGGCTTCAAAAACTTAAATGTAAGGTGGAGCATCTCCTACATGAATGTGTCATGTGTAAGGACATCTATGTTGTTAGGCTTTCCTCCACCTAAGCCTGTCTTGCATTGAACACGGCCCCCAAGGAACAGGGCAGAGTGCTGGCAGAGCTGGTGTGGCCTGGCTGCCCTGAACAATGGGGCAGAGCAGGGTGGTAAATACCAATCAGAGAGCAGGCTTTGAGGCCACACACCAGTGGGTTCAAATCTAAGCTCCACCAATTACCACCATGGGATCTTATAAAATATGTATCTCCCTACCCACCTCAGTGCCTCAGTTTCTGCATCTGCTACACTGGCACAATCACAGCCCTTGTGGGACTTGGGCACACAGGACATTTCCTCCTTTAAGGATCATGTCCCAGCCCCTAAGCCTGACACAATCATCACCCTCTGATGATGAGCAGCTCCCTCCTCCCTATTCAGAGCTGGGACTGCAGCCACAGGAGGCTCCTGGCTGTTCCCCATACATAGGTCACTGTGCCTCTGCTAAGGGTCCTTCAGATGCTTCTCCCTCAATCTTGAACAGGTTCAGCTACATGCCCCACTCCCACCACATGCCTCTTTGACCCTCTGGCTCTCTAGCCCCTGTCATCCCAAGCATACTGGGTGTCAATGGTTTGTCTTCCTCCACTAGACTCAGAGCTTCTCATAGTGAAGACAGGTAATGTGGCTTGGAGCGTGCTGAATGAGCTCCTGCTGCGTGGACCCGGCTAGCCCATCCATGGCTCCTGCAATCCACCAAACCCCTAGCACAAAGGGGTGCAGCAGAATGGCTGGGGATGATGGGCCCTTCATTCTGGGGACAGTACTACCCTGCTAGGTCTACTTCATGGCATGCCCTCCACTTCACTGCACCCCTCCCCACCAGGACCCCCATACCTGCTTACTGCAAGGCCCCATCCTCCGCATCTGTGTCCTGGCTGTGCTCCTGATAGGGAGGAGGCAACAAAGGACCACACATCACTCAGTGCAAGCTCTGGCCTGCCTGGTGGCCCAGAGCACACCTAGACCACTCTCAGAAAGGGGGAGGGACAGCCAAAGAGAATAACTATGGGACCAGTCTAACTAAACAAGGCTGGCTTGGGATCCCAACAGGGCCCCTCAGGAGAAAGAACCAGTAAAGTAAGTTCTAGCTGTGGCAGAGGACACGCTTCTGCATAGAAAGACCTCCTCAGACTCGAGGAGGCTGAAAGTCTAGTAGACTGATGAGTTCCCCATCTTAGGAGCATCTAAGCCTTCATTAGGGCCTTTATGGAGAGTACTAAAAGAATAAGATGGATTATCAGGCTAGGTTCAAAGAAGAGACAAGCTGGGCATGAGGAGGACCTCTTAACTGTTATGGCCATGAGCCCATCTGTCCTCACACCAGAACCCAGCCATGTGCAGGAAGGTCACAGATCTGCTAAAGAAATCCAAGCTCCAATTCTGACTCAACTCATTAGCTTACAAGGCCCTGAGCAAGCTACTCAACTCCTCTGGTTCTCAGTTTCCTCATGGGGTAAAATGCAACAAGAGTAATCCTTCGCACAGTACAGGGCCACTGTTAAGGTTAAATGAAGTTAAAAAGTGTAAACTACAGGGTTTGGTGCTCAGTGTTAGGTAAATGAGCAGCAGGCACACAACAGATATCTTAAAAGACTCAGAAGCAGGTCTCCCTTCCCACTTAATATAAGCTCCTTGCCTCAATCTGAAGAATTCCAGTAATAGACAGGGAGCTCAGTCCCTCATCCTTCATGAGACAGCCTGTTTTGTGCTCAGGCAACAATGGCTTGTAGAAAATCCTCAGGTGAAGGATTTTCTACATACCCACCCTCCCTGTGGCTTTCCCCAGGCAATACCACTCCTGCTCCCTGGAACTCTGAAGACCATGTGTGCTTCCTTGAGCCTGTGACTCTCCCTTCTCCAACTATGTAGAAAACAGAGTCTAAAAGGGCCCTGGGCTCAAGAAGGGTCTGCCCCTGTCCTCTGACTGGCAGCTGAAATAGCTAACTATTCCTACGCCATTCCCCCCTCTTCCTCACCAGACTAGAACCCCTGGGAAGGAAGAAAGAGGGAGCTCACAGGGGTGCCAACCACCTCAGAGGTTCCCCCTTTCTCAGCAGACCTCTTGCAACCAAGAGTGCGAAATCCAGGCCCAGTCCTTCCCAGCCATGCCCTCACCAGCTCTTCCTCGCTGTGTGTTAGCAGCCCCTCCTCATCACCGTCGTCTCGAGCCTGTGCTTCTCCCTGGGGTGTGCCTGCTTCAGAAGCTGTGTCCTCCTGAGGGGCCGGTGGCCGGCTGCTGCCACCACCACTGCTGCTGCCGCTGCCACCACCGCTGTTGCCGCCGCCGCCGCTGCCACTGTCACCCTTCTTTTTGCCATCTTCAGGGAGAAGGGGTGGGAAAGAGGGGAATAAAACTCAGCCTGGGGCTTCCTTAGTGGAAGCTAGGCCTCAGCATAGTGGGTCCAGGTGGGATTGGAGGCCACAGCCCCTCTCTGCCCCATGCACTGGCCCCTCCCCACATTCTGTCCTGTGCCCCTGGTCACTGAGGTGGGCAAGGACCCTCGGAAGCTGACCTGGATTAGCCTTCTGCTCCTCGGCAATCTGCTCCAAGCGACCCAGCAGGGCATCAATGTTGGACTTGATCTGTGTCAGCTCCGTCTTGATGGTCTGCAGCTCACTGCTCTTTACTGGGAGTGGAGGGAGCACATGGCTGTCACCTGAGGGCTGGAGCTCGACACTAACATGAGACCCTAGCCCCATTCTGTCAGTTAGGAAGGCAGACCAGTGGCAGAAACTGTCCTCTTCCATGGTTCTTCTTCTGGCCAGGGAAAAGGCCAGAGCTGCCTATAGCTTCCCCCTGAGACTTTCTAGAGGCCATTCGTAAAGTGACCAGCCTATCCTTCTGAACCTGGATCTTTTCCCACCAACCTCCCAATTCTGAAAGGAACTGGGGATGGGTAAGAATGGACACATGTGGTGTGAACCTATGTGAGCACCTGAGCAAGCATGTGTCTGGTTGTATTACATGGTGGTATCTGTCATCCAAGATGTGTAAATGCAGGTGTTTTACAATCAGATTTCCTGAGTGCCTGTCTGACCACAGTATGTGCATACCAGAATCAATGTGGAGCAGCAGGGCTGTGTGGACCTGTCCTTGTCCCTACTAAAAGAAAGATGACACCATCTTCTCACTGGACTCCATGTCACAGCACTGGATTCTGTGCCTAATCCAAGCCCCTCCTCCTCCAACGTCAGTCTTCCTCTTAGAAATGCATGACAATACTCACTTGGTTGTGTTAGAGCTGCAGAACTGTGGAAGATTTGTTCTTTATTATCCAATGTAAAAAGATGTGATTCTATTATTTTGCTAATAAAAAAAGTAAGAAGTATCTAGGAAGAAGATAATAGTCACTCACACTTGATCTTGGCTGAGCCAGTGGTGATGGCTGAGGAGCGGGCAAAGAGCTTGACAGGTATGGTGGTTTTGACACGCCGGACCAAGGGGACTGTGACGCGGGGTCGCTTCACAGGGACCGCCCTGGGCACTGGCACTGGCGACAGGCGTCCCCGATAGTCAAAGAGCCTGTGAGAGCAAATGGGCCAGAGGCTGCAGAATGGCCTGTGGCCACCAGGGGGCACTCTGACCCTAGACCAACACATGTATGGCTGGTGAAGGGCTGGGCAGTCTGCACTACATCCCTACACCTGCTCCCAGCAAGTCCTAGGGATGAAGAGGAAGGGCTTTCCGGACTTTAATGGTTGCTGGAATCCTTACTACATCCACCTTTCCTACCAGCCACACTGGGTAAGGGCAGGAGAGGTGACAGGTGGCAATGGTCACAGCCTCATTCAACAAAGGAGCAAACTGAGAACAGCCCCAGAATGGAAATCACCCTGACACCCACTCTATTACCTGCTCAGTCAACTGTCACCACAAGATCTGGTCAGAGTTTGCAAATCTCCCTAAAGCAGTACAAATCCCCAGCTGGAACCAGAGAGGTGTGGCAGTGGGAGCCAATCCCTAAGCCTGCCTGAGCCTCAGTTTTTCCATCTGCCTGGCGAGGATGGCTACCCCAAATTCTGTGGCCCTCCCCTGCAACCCCCAAGGCTGCTGTAAGAGTAGAACATGAGAGAACTCAGTTAAAAACACAAAAGTCAGAAGGTGGGATAGGTGAAAGGCCAGGGTACCGAGACCCTCAACTCGGGGGCCTATGACCTCAACGGCATGAGGCTGGAATCCAAGCTCCTTTCCTCTTTCTGGGTCCCCATCCTTACTTCACTTCAGAGATGGAGGGCAGGAGGCCCAGTGGAGTATCAAGGTTGAGCAGCCCCATCAGACCCTCTGTCCAAGACAGTATGCTGCCCCCCAAAGCCATCACCCAGCCCTTTCCAGGAGGGCTTCTTTTCCTGATCAGGCAAATGCTCAGTAGGCTGAGTAGGGATCTCTCCCACCACTGCTGCTGCTACCACCTTTCTGCAGGAAACAGCAGCCTCAGGGGTATATTATGATGAGAGCCAGGAAACCTGGCATCACTAGGTAGTTCAGTGTCCCATGTTTTGGTATTTCTTTGTTCAGGGAGCCCCTGCCCTGGAATGGTGATGGCTGGAGATGGAGAGTCTCTGGGAATGGACCCAGTCCCAGACCCTGCATTTCTGCCCCTAAGGGGAGGGGGCGGCTCTGGCCTTGGTCAGAATCACTGAACCACAGAATCCCAGAGCTGGAAGAGCCCCGAGGGATCACTTGGCACAAGCCCATTTCACAGAGTGGGAGGGGATCTGCCCAAAGTCATGCAATCACTTCAGTGGCAGAGCTGAGATTAGCACCCAGGTCTTCTGATTCCCAGGCTAGGGCACTTTCCACTACACTGCGCTGACTCCTGAAACTACTCACAGGTGAGAAAACTGAGGCTCAGAGAGGTTCTGTTCTTCCTGGACAGACTTGGGCAGACTGAAAGGGAGGGAGGGAGAAACAGGGAAGGGGACAAGTTTGGGCCAGCCCCTATCATAATTTCCACTCAAGAATTTGGCTGGTGCCACAGAGTGGCGCCCACAGCCTCGAGGCTGCGGTCTGGGTAGGCTTGGGGATGGGCCAGGGACTAATTCAGACCCCCAAAGGACTGTTGGCATTTTGGCTATAAATACAAAAGGCTCAGACTGAGGTTCTTTCAGGTGACAGGGCACCTCAGGTTGGTAAGGAAACTGAATAGCAGAAATGTAAGGGCTCAGAACCCCCTGCACCTGACTCTGCACCTGATCCTGCAGCTGTTTTGTATTCCAGCTTGCTACATTTATGTGTCCCCTGGCTGTCCAGTCCCATCAAGTCCCACGCCAGGCTTAGGAGGATAAAGGGTGGTCAGAGAGTTGGGAGGCAATGTGGGGTGGGGGGAGCTCTGGCCTGGGCACCTATAGAACTGGACTCTAGTCCCAGCTCTGCCACCAACTTGTGGAGCAGCCTTTGGCAAAAGCCTGTCCACACCTCTGGGCTTTGGTTCCCATGTGGAGGACTGAGTGGGCTGCACCAGCAATCTCTCAGGACCCTTCCAGCTTGGCTGTTTCATGCCTGGGCACGCCCCTCCCCTGCTCACCTGTCGTAGAAGTCGTCGCGGTAGTAATCATAGTCAAAGCTGTAGCCACTGGGGAAACAAAGGGGAGAGGGCCAGGGCTTAGGGACAGCCGCTCAGCCCACTCTCCACAGGCCCTCATCTCCAAATGCCTCCCCAAACTCTAGGCATGTCATACCGTCACCACCAGTGTTCACTCCCCCTATGGAAAGAGGGACCAATCCCACCCAGAGACAGAGACCGACAAACAAGACAGAGTGCCCCACCTGTATATGGCAGATGCTGCTCTCTTTAGTCCCTTGGGTCTGTTGGGCTTGGGCTCTCCAGCCATGTTGATGTCTGTATGGAGGGAGGAGGTGAAGTCAGATGCTGACAGGACAGTGGGCCACCCATACATGTGTTCCCTCATGCACATGTGCAGCAACTTATACGCTTACATGATACACACACGGACTTTACTAACATGAACAACAAAGGTCTTAACAAATTAGACTCATACCCACACATCACATGGATATGCCTGTTTACATACTCATATACATCCAGACGCATGCACGCGTGTTGAAATTATCACTCACACACAGGCACTATGTACATCACACATATATGCATTCTCAAGTACACTCATGTAAACACATACATCAGACACACACCCACACGTGTGTTCACATATCCAGGTAGTAAGATCACACGCTCTCAACCACACTCAGACTTAGCTCCAATATCATATACATAACTGCCCAAATGCAAACAAGCCAATGCACATTTACACAAACATTCTACCAAAGATCTTTATGCCTAGAGCAGTGCTTAGCAAATGACAGAATCTCAGTAAATATTTGGTAAATGAATACATGCTTATCTGCTTACACACTCAAGTATATTCCGATACACATGTAATTCTCCACAGTAAGATATGTGTCCACATAACATTCTCCACACATTGTTACATCCACATACCACATATTCAGGAGTACATATCCCTTCTCAAACATACATAAATACACAGAAGCATGTGAATATATACAAACACTACACACGCCCCAAAGTAGACCACCACACAGCTACACTGCAAGTATGTAACAGCAAGACCAAGGGCACCTGCTTCACCTTATGCTACCAGTCCCTTCTCCTGGCTCTCAGAAAGGGTTCTAACATAAGTCATGCAGCTGAATGTAAGAGGCTGGGCTGGGCCACCCTGTTCCCTTTCTCTGGAGAATCTGCATTTTAACTGGAACCCTAAGACCTGTCATTAAAGGCACTGTGAAAGCTGGGAAGAAATGTTTTTAAGAAACTTCCAAGAAAATTCTCCCCTATAGGCACTGATTTTGTAACTACTTAATTCATTACTTAATATAATTAATAACTAAGTTATAACATCTCCGACAGGGGTATGGGGGCTAGGGGACAGAAAAGAGGATAAGAGAAGAGCAAAAGAGTCCAGGTCAGCACCTGCCCAGGAGAATACCAGGAGCAGGGCCATGGAGAGACACTTACCCAGGGTCTGCCCGGCCAGCACCCGCCCATTCTCTCCCAGCACAGCTGCCCGGGCATGGCGCTCGTTGGCATACTGGACAAAGGCATAGCCCTTGTGCACAGAACAGCCGGCCACACGGCCATACTTGGAGAAGATGGTCTCCACATCTGACTTCTTCACCACAGCTGTGTTGAGGTTTCCAATGAAGACCCGAGAGTTGATGGACTTAGGGTCATTCTTGTTGGTTACATTGCTTGTCTGGATCTTCAAGGACATGGTGACCACCTGAAGAGAGAGAGCCACTGTGAAGCTGGGACCCTGGGTTGGACTCAAGGGCTGCCCATGGCCTATAATCAGGCCAAACTGGATTGCTCTGTGCCTTCCTACACACACACACACACACCCCTACAGCATCCAGCCTTGCCATTTTTGTTCATCTCACTGGCTGCTGACTTCATACCAGGTGCTTTACACATGTTCTGACACCTATCTATATGATACTGACATGATAAGCAGAACCAGGACATTTTACAAGGGAGGAAATGCACAGTCAGAGATCACAATGCCAGTAAATGACAGGGCTAGGCTTTGAACCCTGGTGCTTGACTCAAATCTTTCTCTTTTAACTGAGGTTACATTGGTTTATAACATTACATCAGTTTCACGTTGACTCTAATTCCTCCACTTCTTTAATGCTCATCTCAAATGTTAACCCATGCAGGATCTATATTTGAAGATCTTCCATAGCTTTTCTACTGTTCCTTAAATGTAGAACCATGACAAAGAGGTCACATGGTAATTATAAGTAATATTTGCTCCAGAACAGTATCATATTATGAAAGTTGCTCAGTCTGACCCAGACATGGACCATGGCTGTTTTTACTGGTATTCTGAAAAAGGTGAGCTAGATAAACCTCACTGAGCCCTTACTGTGAGCTAAAGGTAGTACACAATACTGAATAATTTCAAGACACAATGATTATTATTATCGTCATTCATATTTTACTAGAAACAGGCTTCAACAAGTTCACTGACTTGTCAGGAACAGGCATTCAAACCCAGGTTAATGGTCCCTAAAGCCCATTTTTTTTCCCAACTTTATCACTCTCCCTCCCAGAGCTAAATCCAATTTAAATACAGTTGACCCTTGAACAACTGACTTTCAAATGCATGAATCGACTTATATGTGAATATTTTTCGACAGTAAACACTACAATAACACATGGTTTCCGTGGCCGGTTGAAGCTGCAGGTGTGGAAGAACAGTGGATACAGGATACAGAGGGAGGATGACTGTAACTTAGTTATACAGGGATTAACTCCTGCATTGTTCAAGGGTTAACTGTACTACAGTAAATCAGCATATTTATTTGACACAACACTGTAAAATGATTATGAATCAATAAAAAATGTAAAAATAAAAAAAAGACAGGAGAAAAAAAATCAGCATATTTACCTGAGAATAGTTTTAATAATGTTTTTAGAGTTATCCATGTTATACTTACTCAAATTCCATTCAAATCCTGTCCCCTTTGCTTAGAGATACTGCATCTAATCTTTGCTCAGGCAATTTTTTTTTTTTTACCCCAAAGAGCTGTACAAATCTCTCCTACTTCCCTCCCTGGACAAGTTACATCTGGGCACAGGCTTCAGAGAGAAAGGGGAAAGGAGGCTCAATTTCAGTAGGAAAGGCCTAAAGCTAAGCCTTAGAATTTATACTTCCTGGCCCAGTCTTCCACTCACTAGCAGAAGGTGCTAAAGAACCAAGCAGCATGTATAAAAACTCTCATCAGCCTAGGTTAATCATAAATGTCTACCTATTTACCTAATATTCTTGGGCAAGGGGGACTTCTTTTCTGTAAATTAGAGAAGAACTGAGCATAAGCTGGGAAATCTGCATCTTCTGTCCCACTAGGGTAAGAGACTCCTTTCTCATGTAACTTACCAGCTTAGAAGCTGGCACATTCTGACCAGCAGACGGCACTATCTGCAAGGAGACCTTGGGCTGGACCTGTGAAAGACCCTGGGGTAGAACCTGCGCCGAGGGTGGGCTTGCAATATATACTGGGGTCAAGTACGCATCATCAAAGACAATAAAGGTTGACGTTTTACTATAGGAGACGGAGGTCCTGTATAAGGAGTAAGTACGGTGGGAGAGTCGAAGGATGGCCAAGCAAACACAGTGAAGAGCAAACAAGGGAAGAATTTTAAAAATGGAAAAAAGTATGTAAAAAAGATACTGTAGAGGCAGCATAGATTTTACCACGTGAATTTCTACGATAAACGATGGAGCGTAAGAATAAGAGGGGAAGGTTCTCTTACCAGCTGGAAATTTTTAAAGGATTTCCCCAATGAAAAAGGTGAAATTCAGTGATTTGTTTTTCAAGTGAATGAAAATGGTTCATTCTCCAAGGAATTAATATATAAAAATTGTTTGGGAATGTCTATTGCATAAATATGGCATCATTACAAGAAATAAAAAATGTCAAAACTGATATCCAAATAATTATAAAATATTATTTTTCTGCTTCCCCTCCCCCACCCATACAAAAAGGATAATAAAGTTTGAGGGCTGAGAGGGCACTGCTACTGATAAAGGGCTGGTGCCAGCTTTAGAACTGGCCTGGAAGGACAGATTCTTTTTTTCCCAGTTTGCCTTTGGATCCAAGCATCAACATCTATAAACAGTGAGGGGCACAAAAGAGATTACCCATGAAAACACCTAACACACAGGAAATGCTCAATGTATGTGGGTTCTCAGTCCTCACAGTTCTCTGACAGTCCCTCTCCTACCTGGATGACAAGCTGACTATTGCTGGGTTCCTTCATGCCTCTGCCAGGAGCCTCTAATACCACTGAACAGAAAGCACTGCTGAGCACCTGTGTTTGGTGCTATAGTGGTATCAGCATTCACTCCGTGGTTGGTGAGCAAAGTCCTTTGGGTTTGGCCCTACCCAGTCTCTTCTCTCATCACCTGTGGTTTGGGACAATGTATATAAGAGGACTTTGCAAACTGTGAAGCTCTTTATAGATCTGGTAATTACTCTGACTAGTTGAACTTCTCTGTTTTACTAACAATGCCATTTGTGGGCCCATTCTAGATAAGGGGCAAGGTCAGACTGGAGAATATTCTGAACAATGCCAAGGAGAGGCAGTCAGAAGCCATCTCACACAGGGTCAGTTTTTCAATCTCTAGAGAAGAGACTTGGGAAGTGTATGTATGTGGCCGCTCTGCAAAGCCAAGGTGCATACTCTGGGCACTCAAGTCCTGTATTCCCCAACTAAACAGCCCCCAATCTGCTTTCAAGGCCTGCACTCCTCAAAGGGTAGGCTGTGCTGCTGCTGTGCATACTCTTGTGGTGACAGGTATCTCTGGAGGTAAAGAAATGCTTGAGTGCCCACACACACATGTCCACAAAGCTTCTAAAATCGAAGAATGGAGTTGGAGGTGGCAAATGAAAAGAAAGCTCTCCCAGTACTTCTAGGTTCAGGCACAGAATCCCAAATTCAGATATGGTCTTCCAGGTTGTTATGAATGTAACAATTTGTTGGCCTCGCTTATAAGTTATAGCCTTCAAATATTTGAACATATTATACTCTTGTTCTGCCCTGCAAATGTTAGAAGCAAGCTTGACAAAGCCTGGAGCACAGTAAATGCTCAATAAATACTGGGGAGGAAGCAGTGAGGATAATATCCCACAAGTGAGAACAGTTAGCTGTGGCCCTTAAGCAGGGGTGGGGAGAAGCGGGGATGGGGGTTCCTAGGGGGCTGAGGTCCCAAGCACCTCCTCCTAAACACCCCAGTCCACATACCAACCATCCCCAACTCAATCCTTCCCACACAATTCTTTCTCAGCTCTTCGAGGCTTCCCACTAGCTTAGAATGGGACCCCTAGAAAATACTGACATCCTATTCAACAGAACTGCTACACTTGATAAGCTATTTTCCCCCTGGGCCGAGCTCTGCCTCACAGATTGGCTGTGTAATTAAAAGCAAAGTGTCTGCAGCCCCTAGAGGCCCCATGTTTAGCAATGAGCTTAGGAGAGGTGGGTAGAGGGATTGTTCTTGGTGGTGGTGGGAGAGGAGAAGGGAGAAGGTAAGAAAATGACCTGTTCCCAGACACCTCTGCAATGTCAGATTAGCAGGGACCTTAGTGAGCATGGAGCTTATACGCTCTCACTCTGAGGAACAGAGGAGAACAGACTTGGCCAGGATGCCAATGAGTAGCAGGGCCAAGAACCCCATGGGTCCTCTGACTCTAAGTCTAGGGTTCTTATATTCCATATTTCCTTTTAGGTTGTTGAGAGACAAGCCCCCAGGACAGCAAGGAGCTCAGAGGAGGCAGTCTAGATCTGCTATCCTTGGGAAAACTGGGGACTGGCTCCCAAATAAGTATCGTCACTTTTACCTGCTGGAGAAACAATCGCTGCATAAAAGCTGTACCCTTAAGCTAATTAAAATCCACCAGGGACATAGCCTTTGAAAAGCAATTTACAGCTCAATGGGATGGGCTTGCTCTCTAAGCTGATAAGAACAGAAGAAATTTTTACAAAAATAAATAGTTCTTCCCAGCTGAAACATTTCAGATGGAAGCTATGTTTTGAAGACAAGAACCAAGCCTGAACATGTGGTAAAGTGACAGGGCTTTGTAAAGGCAGAAAAGCCCAAAAGGTACCTGCACCCCTGAACTTTGGGTAAATGAGCCACTCAGAGGAGTATTACAGTAAGAATACCCTCTTTACTACTGAGTGCCAACAACGTGTCAAGAGACTTTACACACCTCATCTTATTTAACTCTCACAACAGCCCTATGCAGAGGTAATTCAGATAGGGAAAGGAAGCTCAGAGAGACAAAGTAATTGGTTAATAGAGCAAAACCAGAACTGGAACCCAGATCTGTTTGACTCCAAAACCCTATGGATAGAGATGCCTTGGGTACTGATTCCCATGATGAGAATGTCGCCCTGAGCCAGTCACACCCTCTCCTTGGTCCTTGGTCCTTGCCCTTTTCCCTTTTCTACTACAATGCCTCACAGGACTTAAATGAAGAAAGCCAGTTTATATCCTTGATCCTGACATTGTTAGTTCCATTTTATAGATGAAAAAGCTGAAGATCAACATAGGTAACATGTCTTACTTAAGGTCACCCAGCTAGTAAAGGGAGTAGCTGGGAACTTGAATCCAGGCTTCCTCTACATGCCACCGTCTCAACTGTCCTAAGCCTCTGATTCTGCCTCATCAACCCTCATGCCCTCCCAATCCTGCCTATCAGGATCTAGTCTTCA